AAGCATAAACCGTATGCAACAGTTGACGCCACCGTGCTGCCTCGCAATCGCAATCGCAATCGCAATCGTAACCGCAGACGTAACCGTGGGCGCGTGCATGGGCGTGGGCGGTGTTTTTGGTAATTATCTGGTTGTGGTTGCTGGATAGCGTGGTCGAGAGTCTGGGAGGGCTTGCGCTTCTTGAGGACTCGTGGCGGTTCCGGTGAGGATATTGAGTTTATAGGTGGAGCACTGCTAAGGGGCTTGTGATATGGTGGTTAGTTAAATTTCCCACACAATTTCTTTCTTACCATTTTTCGTTTTTTTTTCTTTCTTTTCCAAATTCATCTCCATCAGAATACTTGTTCCCCAAACCGATCCAAGCCTGTTCGTCTCCATGTCTTTGCATGACCACTTCGGCTCCGAGCGTGAGGCTGGATCTTGTCAAGAAGCTGGGCCGAGAGGTCAGGCCAGAACAAACCGAGATGTCTGCGGCACTTGGAGATAAGAAGGCCAAACAGCTCGTAAGTAGTCGACCACTCTGTGCTCCATTTTCGACGTTGCGGTCCGGGTAGGTCATTTTTTGTTCTTACGTTTACGTCAGGATTTGTCTTCTCGATCCCTAAGCCCATCAGAGTCCGAGATCCAACCGTCGGGACCCCGGACTATTACACAGGCACACGAGGAGGAGACACTCGATGAGGAGGCACTCGACAAGTGGGATACACTCCAGGAGGAGGCAGACGCCATCTTTGAGATGCTATACTCTCTCAAGACAGTCGATGACGTCCAGCCCTATACTCTCGACGCGGCACTCGATCAAATTACCAGATTTTACACAAGCATTGTGAAGGCAGTCCAGCCGGCCTCCTCTTACCGCGAAAAACACCGCGCTGCCGTCCTGCTCATACAAGTCTTGTCCTGGATCGTGACATCCAATAAATTGATAGGACAAGATCTTCGGGAATATGTCCTCGGTCAAAGCGCGGAGGAAGAATACCGGCAATGGGTCGACCCGATGAGTGACGTACTCAGCTGCTGCACGTGGGCGGAACGCCGTCGTATATTCAAGAGCCGCCGTTGGCAGTGGGAGTTTGACTTGTTTGTGGGCCTGGTGATGAACTGTGAACTATTTGGCGAGATTTTCGGTTTGCTTGAGGTGGCGGAGCATAGGGAAGAGATGTTCGTCTCCCCCCGCCAGAGCGATCCAGCGCCGGCCCAGCAGTCTGACACGGAGGACGGCACAGTCGAGGACGGCATGGTCGACGACGCTATCGCTGTGTTTGAGGATGGGGAAGATGAGGAGGAGATTGTTCCGCTTGCTGGTTCACCAGCCCGGTCCCGGTCGCAGGTGCAAATGGACGTGGCACAGCCACGTGAAGAGGTGGCGGCCCAGGCTGGCAGGGAAGCAGCCGTTCAGCCTGCCGCGGGAGAAGCAGAACCCAGGAACGGTCAAGGAGAACCGCGGCCTGCTTGGAAGGCAACTGGAAAGAGGAGTCATGAAGGGGTGGACGCAGGGCAGGGACCGAGAAAGCGACAGGCCCGTTCTCCTGGACGGGTCTCGGTTCACTTGCACTTTCACGGGACCGTCCAGAATGTGTACCTGGGCAGCGACTCGAGATCATAAGGTAGGTAGGAGGCTGTGGGTCTTGTTTAGCGCGTTGCTCTTCACTTTATTGTATCTATCTGTGCTGTGACTTTTCGGTGGGCGGATCTTACATGGGTACTCGGAGAGTCTCGGGGAACTTCTGTGAGGGATGTTCTGGCGAGAGGCTCGTCCGGAGGCCCCGGTGGTAGCTCATAGGTATCTAGGAACGGAAAGTACGCGCGTGAAACCCCCCATGGAGGGTCTTTGGCGGGGAGATAACGATAGGCATGAATTGTCATAAGAGGTCAACTGAAGATGGGGAGCTCCCAAGGGAGCATGCCAGCTCACAACAGTCTACCGCACCTGCCTCGTCACCACCAACCTCCAAGTCGCATTTCATGTCGCAGGTAAAAGTCGCAAACCAACCTCTGTCAGACCATCCCGACGAGCGAGACCTCTCCTGTCACCGTGACGACCCTCGACTCCGCCGAGCTCAAGGACATGATTTCCGCCCTCCCCGATTCTCTCCTTCCCACCCTTCTGTTGACTGCTGCCGGGGCCCATCCCGACATCGCTAGTCTGATTCAGGCCCACCCAAACTTCGAGATCCTATTCAATGGGATAGAGACCTTTCGCAGGATGTTCAAGAGCACGTTGTACCGAAAGGGCCAAAACGAAGAAGCGGTGTATCATGTTCAAGCGGTTGAGAGGGGGTTGTGGTGGAAGAAAATGATACGCATGCTGGAATTCTTTGATGACGAGGGACTCGAGCGGCTCTATGGTAAGAAGAAAACCCATCCGGACTGGATCGCCATTACGTGGAAGGATGATATAAAATATATTTGGAGGGATTGGAATTGCGACTACTATGATGAGGATATTGAGAAAGGCTTGATTGAGAATCTCGTGACGGACCTCGCTAGGATTGAAGGGAGAAGCAAGACAGAGACGCGGAAGGAGCAGAAGGAATGGAAAGACTGGGAGTATTGGGAACCCTTGAAGTGGTGGGAAGAGTGGGAAGAGGATGGGGTGCATGAGTGGGAAGGATGAATGGCAATGCCAGGTTTATGCAAGGCGTGGGCAAACCCGATGCCCAACGGAATGGGCCTGAGAGCATGCCCTCAGGCTGTAAATCTCGAGTGAGCTTATCCTACCGTCTCCGTCTTCTCTTCCAAGTTGTACAGAGGGATTTATAACATTTACGCCTATATATGGAGACTATCATGTGAAACGAAGGCTTCAAAAGATGAGAGGTACGCCCCCGACCGTCTTAACAGCCCTCTCGACTATCATTGAAGCCGTTTAAGGCCCATCAACCATCTTTGAAGGTCCTATTCATAGTAGCGGTGTCTCTCGTTGCTTTTACGACGTGCCTCCTCATCCAAGCCGCCGGAACCCGCTCCAACATTTTCCCCTTCCTCGACAAACCCAACCAAGACGCCCGTCCTGTCTAGACAGTCTAACCTTGAAACGGGCAAATATTTATCACTTGTTAAACTGCACACAAATATTTTTGTTTCTAAAAGTCAAGATGGGTTGTCCTTCCCCAACCACATTGCTCCACCACCCACCGATATCCAGGTTGTGAATAGGATGTATTGTCACTTTAGTTTTTGGCCATGCCTCCTGGGATTTATCATGCCAGAGAATGTACCTGACTCACATCGCAAGATTTGGGGAGGACACTGGCCCTTTCTCCGTTGATGATCCGTTTCTTCGAACGGGAGATAATCATCAAATGGCAGGCAGGAACGATGTCTGCAGGCAGATGACCTCATGGCCCACTTTGTTTGTTTGCTCTTGCCTTTATTCATAGGATCTCGCTGGCAGCCTGACACCCCGCGATGCTTTTGAGTCCGTTTGCTCGGTGGGCAGGAACGACTCAAAGAGGCCTCGCTCATTGTCCGCCTTTCTATCTTCCTCTCCGACTCTCTTCTCCACACCCCCGTTGCTGTCTCGATCTTCTCTCCCTCAACACCAGGCCCGACCGCATCCGGCATTGAGAACTCTACCGCAAAGATGCCCTCGTCCAAGGCTGCCAAAAAGAAGCAGCGCCTCAAGAAGGCAGCCGCTGAGAGAAACGCGGGCGTAAGTCGTGTTTGTTACTCATTGAACCTGAGTGACACTGATACTGACCCTTTGGTAGAGTTCCGAGATGACCCAAGAGGACATCACTCCCCTGGTCTCCGGCCTGGAGCCCAAGTCCTATGAGCAAGTCATCGTCGATGCTGCTCGTAAATTTGACGATGTTGCCGATATGGTCGTCGAGCAGCACCAATCACTTGTCAAAATTCGGGCCCATGAGCAAACACTTGTTGCCGACTTTGCCCGAATGACCAAGACAATTGAGAGATCCCTGGGTGCAAAATATCACGAGCTTCTTGCCCCCACCACAGCCGAAGATCGTCCCACACGGGTCCGAAAGTACGACAAGAAGCTGGCCAACGACATCGATGCCGCTCTGAACTACATGACCGCTGAGATCACGCCCTACTCGCTCTATGCCACCAAATTTGCGGCCTTGGACGGCATGCGGGCTGTGTTGGAGAGCATTCTCCGCTGCCCCAAGCCTCTTCTGAGCGCTCTATCCCGACAGCCATCGTTCAAGAGTTGGGACATCAAATTGATGGTGGTGTTGAAGCATCTGAACTGCGATGACATATGCAAGCTCAAGTGTGCCAAATTCAGATGCGGCGAGCAGGAGACACCTACTCAGTGGATGAAAGACATGAAGCGCCTGTGTCTCCTCCACGAGATTACGGACAAAAAGGTCTTCAGTCATTAGATCGACCATGCCTTTCAGTTCAAGTATGAGAGGGTGCAAGCAACCACGATCCCGCAGGCTGTGAACACGAGGTGACCATCCGACAGAAGAGTCCGGTGAGTCCTGTTTGCCCATCTCTGCCTGGTTTTCCAGAAGATAGCATTCCTTGGCTAACATTTGTTGGAGCCTGTGCCCTCCCCGGCTGAGGCTTCATCCTCGCAGAGCCCTTCACTCGAGCCCGACCTGGCTGGGCCTTCCGAGAGCGTCTCCTTGTCCGAGCCGGTCAAGACAGAGCCCCCCAAGGCAAAGTTGACCAAGGGTGAGCTCAAAAACATGGTCTCTCCCCTTTTCCCCTCTATTCTCGAGCAGATCATGACCTCCACAGCTCTCGCCCATGCCTCAGTCATCCCTGCGCTCAGGGCCGTCCGGAAGATCAAGGCTGCGGCCGAATCATCGATGGCCCAAGACTGGGCTCGAGTTGCCGGGGTTGTACACAGCGGCCTCAACGATCGCTATCGTATCCGCAAGACCTACCGCCACGGGTTTAGTGTTCACGCCTATGTCAACGAGTCGGCCGAAGTCACGGACGAGGCACTCACCAAGTTCTATATGGAGCTCAAGAACCTTTACAAGCCCCTTCTCGCCACCAAGATAGCCGCTTTGGAGAGTTGTCGCAAGGTTCTGCAAGATCTCCTATGCTGCCCCGATGAACTGAGAGATGCCATTTACTTCCATGTCGGTTCCGATCAAACCAATACTTGGGCCTTCAACATGGTGAAGATTCTGGACTGGTTTGAAGGCGGGGAGATTTACAAGCTGGTCAAGGACGAAACGGATGAGCCGAATGAGTTTTGGACGAAGCGCAGCGTGCCAGCTCTGATGGAGCTTGTGAAGGACAAAGCGCCAGTCGGCCACCCCGACAGAAGGGAGTTCTTTCGTGGTGGTCTCCGGGAGGTCTGGCTGCGCGTGTATGCCGCAGTCATCAAGTATGGAGACCCCCTCAAGACGCTCATGTTTGAGGGCCTATGTGTCTGCTGTTATTGCGACGACCTTGATGAGGAAGATTACTGCTCTTGTGGGAACGGCGAGGGCTTTGACGATGAGGAGGATGAAAGCTTCCATGAAGCGATGTTGGCCTTGTTGTCTCCGAATCCTTTTCTGCTCTGAATGGGTGATTTTGGAAGAGATTTGGCGGAATGATCGAGGGAAATATCGTGGGAAAGCTTGACCAGAGTAGGGAAGGGATATACAGCAAATTCTTTGGTCACTAGCTGGGCTGACGACTATTCATTGTACTGTATGAGGTTCTCTTGTAAAAAATACTTTATTCCATGTTCATTGAACACAATGCGTGAAACACCATACCCAAGACATATCACAGCCAGAATTACCAGTCACAACTCCATTGTGTCTTCCTAGGGTAGTTGAAACCCCATCCACACCTCCCCCTACCCCTTCACCCCCTCCCAGGCGGACACACAACCAGCCTAGACCTTCACGTCGTTAATAATGAGGCCCGTGATAATCCCAAAAGCCGTGCTACCTGGTGTTTTCCATATGCTCCTTACAATCTACGCCTGAGCACAACTAAGCTGTCTCTACTCCACGGCACTACCTTTAGTACTACAGCTCGTTACTGTATAAATCTCGCATGCTCCACCTATAAAGCGGCTTCATGATCCCATCCGATGGAATATCAACCCCAGCAGTATGCTCCACACTGATGTATCACCTCTCAACTTGCTCGATAACCCACTTGTATATGAAATTGATACACTTGGTCCTGGCGAGGATCCGCTCCGGTTGTACATAGACAGTTCATGGAACTTAAAGATCAGATCCGAATTGAGTCAGTGTGTGTGGTGTTCTAATATATTGATTACTGTATTGTTAAGTGCGAAAAGACCTAAATCCATGAGATATTGAAGATCGTCGAATCTTATTATTCTAGCTATTTTATTGGGCAGCTTCTTGTCATGCCAGTAGCTATCTTCTAGGCCATTTGACTGCTTCCTTACGGCCTACGTTTGCAAGCTTAGATGAAGTCTTCGAATGTTGAAATAAACATAATTAAAAGGGTTGAAGTATGGGAAATGCATGGTCTTTTGTTACGTTGATGTGGGGACAAAAAGGGGGGGTTGCCCGGGAGATAAAAAGGGGGTGTAAACAAACATCTCCTATCCTCCGAGTGCGAAATTATTACTAATCTACACCACCACAAACCGAACACATGAGCAAAATAAAATGCTTCTTTCCCTATACTGTTGATGCTACATGATATCTGTACGTCATATTCCCATCTGAACCGTTGAAGACAACACATACGCTGCCTCTGCATTGGGTCTACTCCAGGCTTTTACTAATAACTGGGCTGTTGTTATTGCTCAACAATACAAAGAAATACAGACGAAAGGTGGCAGGTGGGAAGGTAAGTTGTTAGACTCACCGAAGAGATTGCGTAAAAGTTTTCCAAGTCTATGAAGACAATACATAGTTCCACGTGATTCCCTAAGTGTCAAAGACAACAATACGACCATGGCACTTGCCCCAATAGCAATTACTGGAAAAAGAGGGCACGTGCGCACAAGAAAATGTCTTGTTATCTAGACTTATGGAAGACCTAATTTCCGCCTTATTTGAGAGAATAAAGACAATACGTCATTGTTCGTCTGAAGTCCAAGGCAACAACACGGCTTTGGCACTTGCCTTGATAGAAAAACGCTCGGGCCATTTGAGAAGACTCTCTGGTATATATATCTCGTTCCTGTGGCTTTTTCTCCCTCTCTTCCTCTCTTTTTCTCTTCTTCACAGCTCTCACATTGGAAGTTTTCTTTTCGTCTTGAAGCTACTTTTTTTGTCTTCACCCGTTTTTGTCCCACAATTAACGTGAAAATACCTAACATCAAGCATTGCCAAGATGTACCAGTATCAGGCCAGTCCCGCCGAGCTCGCCCTCATAGGCCGTGTAAGTCTTCCCTTCAACCATCAACCACTCCCCCCCCGCCATGAGATCTCAAAAGCTAAACCCCTCTGCGGGACCACATCGCCCCTTTTATGACCCCCTACCTCACCATCACCAACCGGCCCCCCACCATCACCCACCTACACATGTTCACTCCCATCTGGAGCACCCTCTCGGAAAAGTTGACTAAGTTTGACTCCAAAGCCCCGACCGAAAAGGCCAAGAACATCCCCGACATCCTCGAGAGCGCCAACACGGCCCTCGCCCAGATCACCAGCACCTCCAGCCTCTCCCTCCACGGGAACTTTGCCGCTCTCGAGACGATCCGGAAGATTCTTACCGCGCTCTTTTGCGCGCTTGTTTGGTGCCGCGCGGGCGCGAATCCAGAAGCGAGCACGCTCGTCCAACACATGCGCGGGTGTACGGGTGCTGAGGCGCTGAACAAGGTTTTTTCGGGGCTGGTTCTGTGGCAGATGGACTGGTTGATTTTCAAGGATGGGGGGGCTTGGTTGGAGGATCTGGGGGTTTTGGCTGCTGAGGAGGAGGTGGGGTTGGTTTGGGGGAGGTTAGGAGGGTTTGGCAGAGCATGATTGCGAGGAAGAGGGTTGTTTTGTTTGAGAAGGAGCAGAGGGAGGCGGAGATGAGGGAGTTTAGGAGGATTAAGGAGGGTGGTAAGAGGGGGGGAGGTAGAAGGGGTGGTTGGTGAATGATGATGAGGCTGGTACTTGGGATATTCGGTGGAGTTGTATTTTGGTGGGTTTGGTGTTTGGGTTGTTTTATATCTGGGGTTTTTTGTTGCTGGTTGGGGGGTGGGGAGCGGGTTGAATGGTTATTTGGTTTCGTTGAAGCGCTGCAAAAGCGCCCGTCATCAACATGGTATTCGACAGAATTTGAGATTAGTTGATATTGCCGCGGGATAACATTTGCCTGCTGCCTGCCACGGCCATGTTGTGCTTTCCTAGGTACTCATCCGAGCAATGAACATCAGACGCCTGAAGCCTGATGAAGACTCGCCATATGACTAACAATGAACTTGGTGAGGATCACAATCTTGATAGCACTGGAGGAAGACGGCTGGTGGAAGGTGGAAAAGGGAGAGTACTGGGGGACTGCTCCAAGTGAAATGTTCTCACCAAGAAAGCGTGACTAGGTGATCTTTCTGCAAGCAAGTGGGGATGATGGGGATGATGGCAAACAGTGCTTCAGATGGTTGCTCTCATCCTATCTCGCTGATGAAACCAGCAGTTCCCCATACAGTTGCAGGAGAGAAAACAGAGCAACAATCCACTAGCAAACAGTAGACTTGGTCTTTCACTGCCTCCCACTTCTTGCTACCATAGCCCTTGTATGTTCCGGCCCCTGGCTCTGTTGCCCCCTAACAGCAACGACATGGTCTTATTGCTTTGTTTATATACATACCCACGCCGCGAGCAGCAAACAATATTCCCTTTTTCTCGCAACATCTTCACCTCGCCTTCCATACGCCATCTCTGCAACCACAATGGCGGACTGCACTCAACACAACCCGACCGAGGTCATAGACCTGATGGATGACACCGATAACGATGTAATTTCCTTTGAAGCATTTTTCCCATTCGAATGCTAACCTTCATGTAGACGTCCTACGACCAAAAGGCCGCCATCCTAAAGCTAGTTTCCTCACTCCCAGACCAAGCACTGCTGGAAACCATCATCGAAGCCGCCACAGAGCACCCCCTCGTTGCCAACCTCCTCCAGCAAAAAGCCACCCGAGCTAGAAAAAAAAAAGAAAAAAAAAAGCAAGTCAATACTGAATGGATGACCAAGACGAAGAGAATAGTCGACATTTTGACTGTTTACTGCAAGCATAAGGATCATGACTGGGGTGTGACACAGCAACCGGAGCTCATTGGGGCGGAAAGTCAAGGATCTTCTCGACTCGATATTCGAAATTGTCACGAGGGACCCATCGCACAGCAAGTGTGATGCTCTTGAGGCGATGGTGGTGCTGTTCAGCAATTTGGTGTGTGCCGGTCTTGGTCAGCCGAGGAGTGTGGCACTCTCGATTTGAGCAGTAGCCATAGTGATCGACGACTGTTCTTCCCGCCCTGACGTGGTGTACCATGGACAGGGCACAAGTTTCTAAGCAGGGGGATACGTAATGTCACTGGAGAGGATTTTACAGCTGTGTTGTATCCCGACTTCAACAGAGCTTCGACATAAAATCGTCAGTGAGGGCCGATATATCTCCCGATCTCATAGGAGACTGCTTTACTTGACATCGAATTACAGAAACTGGCAATCTTTCAAAAACAACCAACAGGTATTACAAGATACTTGCAAAGCTGGTCTTAGTGTCTGTGATATGTCGATGGCCGTGGGAAGGCTCTTTCCCCGCCTTCCATTTATTGCCCCCTCTGTTGCTCCTGCCTTTTGTGAAAGCGATGCGACCCCGCGACCTCGCACTGTTTGTTTACTTTTGTGGGTGCTCAAATTTTCTCTGCTGCTTTTTCTCTCTTGCTCTTTCTGTCTTCTCTCCCCACCCAGCACTTCGACTTTCGCCACCATCACCATGGCAAAGTACCAACCGGCCAAGCTGGAGGAGGCCGACACTGCCTCGTCGGCGGTCAGAGTGGCTCCAGACCTTGGGACCGCCATCAGCATCGCACTTGAAAGCATTGGGTCAAAAGCCGCAGTCACCTCGCCATTATGAGCTCAAAATCGGGGCATTGAAAGCGATGTGGGACATTCTAATTCGCTTTAGGTCCCGCCCCAACCAAGCATGAGTATTACCGGTACCTTGTGTTGGAGAGGCGCATTGCCTAGTAGATAGAACCCTCCCAGAACAATAAAAGCGTCTCTCAACATCAGGAACAAGCTGAGCTCGACCAAGGGATCTGATCAAGGTTATATAACAGCCTCGATGTTAGTTGTTCTACACGATGCATATCTCTACATAGCAACAAGGTGTAACCCTTCGATTACGTTTCAAAGAACAGTGCTGTTAAATACAGGCTCACTCGGGACACTTCTACACAGGTGGATAGATCACTTCACCGTCAGCTCAACACATCCAAGGGGGTGAGGACCAAAAGATGCGACCTCCGTGATCGAAGGGGTTTCATACAAATTCATGGATGTCCCTCCCATTGCGGTTCACGTTGACTAGCCCGAAAAGCAGGGCATTAAGATGTGAACGAGGGCTCTTCACCGCCTTCCATGGGCTCCTGCCTTTTTTTGCTCCTGCCTTGTTGCTCCTTCCGTTTTTAATTGGGCACAAAACGGCTCTCCTGGACCACACAATTTCACTGGGTTATTTTTCGTGGGTGCCAAAATTCTCTTCTCCTCCCTCATCTCTTTTTCGCCCGTAATCAGCCAACCCCTCAGTTCACCATGCTGACCACGGCCCCCGAGTCAGGCGAGAAAGCGACCCCAGCCTCGAAGGAGGTTAAGGGAGTGGTTTATCCCAAGGTAAGTCGTCGCGTCTTACCTATATTTCCATGTCTTGAGAAGCGGAAGCTAATAGTGTTTCTCAAGCGCCGTCGGTCCATTCGTCAAAGCGCTATGACCGTTTCGACTTCCATGTTTGTACCAGCTGTTTGCGGTTATCAGTGAGGACATCAGTGAACAGGCGGTCGGAGGTGCCCGTGAGAGTGGTAGTCTCCAGGTCGACACCTTTCTCAAGCCCCTGCCTCCCATCGCTCCTGCCACCCGTGGTCAGCGGCTCCTCAGGGCCTACACTAGGTTATTAGGCTACCTTTTTGTCCCCAGGAAATTGCTTCTCTCTTTTCTCTTCTACACCCCACATTCAACCTCGCACTCGCAGCTACCACCATGGCAAACATCAAGACGGAGACCGCGGATGAGGGTGTGACTGCTGCTGACCCCGGCGTAAGTCCCTATTCATTTCTAACGGAGTATTCAAGCGACTAACCGAATATTCCTGGCCATTCTAGGCTATCAAGAAAGCCCCATTTTCCATGACGGAGTCCGAGTTGCGAGAGATCTTGGTGCTGGCCATAGATCGCCACCCCGCAATACATCCCATTGTCCAACGGCACCTTGACAGGCTTCGGGACAACAATCTAGGCGGTTTCCAAGACGACTTTGAGAAAATCCGTTGCGAAGTTTACGCATGTGCTTCAGAGCCTTGTTTTTCCGATCCCAAGGCAATCGGAGCATGCATCAAGCGATACTTTGAGAAGCTTCTGAACGTGGCTACCCGAGAGTCGCCATATGAGACGAGGTACTCGGCGGTGGAGTGGTTCCTTCGCGTGCTGAACCTGCTTGTTTTCACCAGCGATCCTCATGACGTGAGAAAAGAGATCTGGAGTCATACAGATGGCTCTTGCTTGAAACTAGTGATGCTGGTTTGCCGCTTCAGAACTGCTGAGAGAGGTCGACTCCTTCGCGATCACAACAGCCTGATCATGCTCAAGATGGACTTGATCACAGCGAATGCCAAGGATCTCCCGGAACTTCTTCGCGAATTCGAGCCAACTATCCACGTTATTAAAAGCTGGAGAGCTGAGTCAAGGGGCTAAGGAAAATGAGGGAATGAACGGTGGGCCGGAGTTGGAGGCTGACCAGAGGAAACTACATTGCCGGAGTGCTCAAAGGATTGCGAAGGACAAGGAACAATGGGAACAACCTGCAGATAGTTTCACTTTGAAGACAATCACAACCCCTCTCTCACTACCAGCTTCTCTGATGTGACACAAACCCAAACCCTCATCTATCATCCCAATGACCATCCCACCACCGACGCAGCACATCTCACTAACTTGACAGCTACCAAAGAAGCACCCAGACCCAACCACGGCAACCCCTTCCCCAGAAAAGACACCCCCCACCCCAGCGTCGTATCCACCGACCCGACAACTCGGAACGCTGCCCATCAAAAGAGGCATAGAGGAGCCAACACACACACGCCGAACAACCCAACGGGCCTGATTGCCTACTCCGCAAAGCCCGTCGTGAAATATAAAATCACCTTACCTCCTTTCCGTCTACAGACTTTAGAACCTGTCCATCATTTTCGCCCCATCAGTCACAGCGCCATTATCAAAACAAATACACCAACACTTCCACCACCAGAACTCCCATCTTCAACTCTTTCTTCCAAAACAACCACCACCATCTCCACCACCACCATCGCCACCATCGCCACCACCACAACCACCATCAAGTCCTACAGACAGTGGGTACACTCTTCAGCGACAGCACAATCGCGACCTCCTGGCCTTCACCCATCTACACAATGACGTCTTCCATTCAGAAAACTGTATAAAAGCCAAAGTCCAAACCCCTGTGTAACACCGACCCTCCCTCCCCCTTGTCCACACAGCATGACATAAAACCCTCCCCCTTAACTAACCCCTTCAACCCAGAACCAAATCAACAAACCAAGCCAACGCGCACCTACCTCCAACCTTTCACAACATATCACCCTCCCCAGCCCAGTTACACAGCCCATATCACAACCCTGCCATCCCTCATGCACCTACCCACCACCACCTCCAACAACAACCCATCCCCATTCACACATCCAACCCCGCCCTATCATTCATCATAAACTTCTCCCAATCACAAACCCAAAAACTCCAGACACCAATCATCCATTCATTAACCTCTACCCAACATCATCATCTGTTCATGACTCATCCGGCTGTCTCTTCGTACACATTCCCCCCATCTCCATCATCATCATCTCGTGTCAAAAAGGCCATGCCATACTGCTGGTATCTTCTCCCCTACACATCCCGCTCATGAACTTCGTCAAGGTCTAATAACCCGTCCCAAAAAGAAACCAACTAAAACCATCCATCCCAATATATCAACGAAAAAGCTTAACGGAAAGAGAAGAAAAGAAATCATCGTAACCCACCCGCCCCCTTTGTACCCCGCTTGCTATGCCCGAGCCGACACAAAGACAAAAAATGCCACCATCCCGAAAAGCCCAAGCCCACAATGCCATGGTTTACCCCCAAAAGAAATGACAGCCATATAAAAAAGAAAATTTCGTCAAGTAAGGTATACAGCCCTGCCCTCTTCTCTCTCATGTTGTGTTTCTCAGTTTTCTTCCCTCTTGATATAAGGCTTCCCTCGTCGTCCGTGTCCGCCCGGTGGGGGGGTGTTAATCGCTGTCAGTCCTCTAGGTCCCACCATCCTGTTTTCTATTTCGTTAGTCAGCTGTCCTTCCCTTTCTTCCCCGCCTCTGCCAGCCAGAGTAAAGACTCACCAATCCTGCATGGCCAACCACTCGCTCCACGCCGCCTCGGCCGCCTGAATCTCCTTCTCCGTCGTGTTTTGCAACGGCTTCAAAAATGGTATCGTCTCCTCTGCCCCCATGTCATACGCCGCCTTGACATCCAGCCAGCTGTTGCTCTTTGTCGCAAACAGATAATTCCTCCTCTCCTGCTCGTGGAACTGCCCTATCCCTCTCTGCCAGTCGTCCCCAAAGAACCCATGGAGCACGGCCGGAAAGTCGAACCCGGTCGCTACCAGTCGGCGGATATACGGCAGCAGCGAGATGTGGGATGGGAATCCCCCTAACAGACCTGCCCCCCCGGGCCCAGCCATCCCCGGTCCAACACCGGCTGCTCGACCCGACGAGCCCTGTGCGCCAAACCCGGCAGCTAATCCAGGGCCACCACCCGAAGGGGAATTGGCCCGCGAGGACAAGACGGGATTTGTGGATCTCTGAAAGGGCAGCTGGATGTTGACAAAGGCGGCGAGGGCCTGGATCGGACCTTCGTACTGGGCGTGGTCGAGAAAGTATCGCAAACAGGACTGGAAGTAGGGATGCCACTCGAAGATGTCGAACTGGGCGTCGGCAAAGGGCTGGACGGGAGGACTGTTACTAAAGTTCTGAGACGACCGGCACGAAGAGGGCTCGTTGTGAGGATAATAGAAGGCTGGAGCCGGCCCGGAGGGAGACCAAAATACCTGTTCCCCTTGGAAGTTGTCACCTGGCCGAGGCATCGCCATGGTCGGTGTTGGTTTCGTTGGACGAACGGGGGGTGTTCGATGTTCCAAGTCCCTGAAGTGGAGAACTGTGTTGGTGTCAGCAGTGTTGGTTGTCAACACACACAATTGCACACGAAAGCCAAGAGAGCAAAGCAGATGGTTCAGTACCCAGGAGTCCAACGTGTCTAATAACACAATTCTTGAAAGGAGACAGCCTGAGCAGCGGGTGGTTTGTTGATCGTCTTCGCTCTCAGACCTCTTCTCGAATGTTGGAAGGATGGAAGCGTCCACTGCTCGCGTGTGAATCTGCACTGAACCGTCGGCAACAACAGCCTGGTACAGGTCGGTTGGAACGTTGATCAAGCGAGGTACTGCGCTACAGCTGGAAATAGATACAGCATGAAAGATTGCCACCAGGGGGACACGGGGGAGGTCTGGGGATAAGATGGGGGGATGATGAATTGGGGCGGCAACTGCGTTAGGGCGCTTGGGAGGGATCCTTTTTATAGCCGCCCGCGCTTGACCAAACCTTGGGACGACGTGCATATGCCTGCCCCGGGAAAAATAGCAAGAAAAAAAAAACGTGTTGCGTGAGAGGGCAATGCAGCCCACAGGACAACAACGCTCAAGAGCCTGCGACCCTGACGAAGCCAAGACAGCCTGACGGCAAGGCGAGGATGCCGCTGCAGCTGAGCCTAGTTAGCTCCCGGGGAGAGAACAGGGTCCACGGTACCTGGTGCACAGCTGCGGGAGATTCGTAAGATCAGTGGGGATGATGATGATCAACAGGATCCAAGAAGCTGTCATCGACCTACACACCGACTCTAGGCAGGGGGTATGCCATGCGCGGTACAGGGCAGGACCAGCATGACCAGCTTCGGGTCCGAGGGGGTCGATGCCTGCTACAGCAATCGATGGGCTTGTCGTAGAGCGCGTAGACGTATCATAGGCTGGTCATGGTGTCATCCGAAGTGGTCAATTAGCTGCTGATGACCAGAAGTAGTGGGAGAATCAGACAGGAGAGGCTCGATGCTGCCGACTTTCCGTGTCGGACTTCATCATCGGCAGCCAGGCACACCCGCCAGGGGCACAAAAGACAAGACGGAGAAGCTGTGGGAGAAGGGCGAATAAGGCTAGACAGGGGGGGGTAGCTTCGTACCTACAACCTCTGATAGAGCTGCTGTTTGAGAGATAGTGTAAGCAAGGTGTGATATTGGTTCACGTATAGGCACGGGAGTCGGCTCTTGAGTGAATACCAAGGGTAGCAGCCAAGGGTAGCAGTTTTGTTAGGTGGTGGTGATATGTCGAGGCATGTCGAGTCGTTGGTGGGCAATAGTTGCGGACACTCCATCCAGAGGTCTGGCGGGGTGGAGAGTTGGGATGAGGCGCATCCAGGGTCCTTGGGGGTTGCCGGTCCGGGATCTGGCGGCCAAATCAAGATCCAGCATGGAAGCCGGCAGGGGCGTCGATGATGGCCCAGGATTGTCTAGGATGTGTTGGAGAAAGGCTGGAAAAAGAGGGCTGGGCGCGCCCGACTCTCTGGGCCGCTGCAACCCTCTCACCCATCCCCCCTGTTCCGTGCGAAGCGGGCGGCGTCTGCTTCAGCTTCTGTGGCTCCGAGGGGCTAGACTAGCTCGTTTGAGCAAATGCTGCATCTTCTTTTGCCGATTGCAAAAGCGACATGTGGTATAAATGTGTTGTTGCTGTTGTTGTTGTGAGTGGGAGAGCGGGAGACGGGAGTGGCAGCGGTTCCCTCTTTGTCACCCCACTGTCTCTGGCCTGTGTATCCACCATCTGGGCTTGAGCCATGCAAGTAACACGCCACTGGCAACTTCCTTCTGCGAGGTTGCTCGTGTCATATTCAACATGTCGGTTAGGAAAATTTCATGAGGAAAGAGCAGTCTAGAGAATAACTGGGGATAGGAAAGCTCTACGTCATGACTCGGCAGGTGCTACTGCCGGGGGCTGCCTCTCGAGCCTATATTTGAAGTCCCTGGGCCAAGAGTAACTTGGAGGAATTTCAATGGTGAAAGGCTGGAAGAAACGCTCCGGCAGCCAAGAAGATATCTGAAATGAAATCGCAAGGAGGGCTCCTTTTTGGATTGATATCCGCTGGGGGCAATATTGGCTGTATCATCACCAGTTCTTTTCGCACACAAGAAGTATGACGGTCGGACAAAATCCCTTCCCTCCAACAATGTCAAGCTGACCGGGGTGAAGGTACACAGTGCGGCGTGGGTCGGTACCCCGGACGGAGCAAGTGGGAGGGGTCGCGGCAATATGGCTTGGCGGCCCACACTGACTTTGACTTCGGCGACCTTCAAGGTTGCTTCCGCTGAGGTGTCTAGACACTTCTTCTTCCTCATGATCAGCGTCCATGGTTGACGAGTTGCTGAGGTTCCCTGATATCCAAATCTTTTCATTTTGGAAAGTAGCTGCAGGGACCAACAAAATGTGTGCCTGTCCGAGTACGGGCCGCGGTACGACGCAGCGCGGCAGCTTGTCAAAGCTTCTCCAGCCTTCATGGAACTGTTACAGGAGAGCACGCATATTCTGTTGCAGCACCTCATACCGCCTGTGACACCTGGCCTGTGCAGCATGTCCTGTGCACCTACATTCTTCTCATGATAACGACGGGATGGGACGAGTTTGAAAAGGTGGCGGCTCCGCGGCTCCGGAGAATTCGTCAACAACCGAATGCAACCCCCCTCTTCCTTCAGCTACGCCAGCATTCGAGCCTTGGAGCAGAAAGGCAGGAGGAGAGCAAGTATTGGTGACGGTCCGTTCTGAGCGATAAGACAGCTCGGTGTGGTGAGTTTTTAGTGCACCTTTGATCCGTCCGCTCTGTCAAGACCATGTGCATCGTTCCAAGCGTGTGGTCCGGTGTGACAGCAGGCCGAGTATCATCTGTCGTGCTTCGCCCTCGACCCAGGAGAAATTCCGACATGCAGGTCGACGAACCGCCAATTGTCCAATATGAACCGCTTCCGCTGATGCTGTGATGGATGTCAATCAAAAAACCAAAAAATGCATAACGAACCCCCGAGGTCTTTCGGACACTTATCTTTACCAAGCACTCTCCTTCTCTTGGGGAACACAACTTTGTCACCGAGAGATACTCCGAGGTAGGCTCGATTGCGGCCGGCGCACAGATACTTGGGTTGCAGCCGCTTGAACTTTGATATCTTCGGGACGCTCTCTTTTTGGTTCAAGAACACACGCCGCGTTTCCAATAGCACGCCTCGGCTCTCTAGCATCCTAACAACCCATATGCTCATCAAGTGTTGGTGCCATCTGAGAGATTCTGTGCACGCTTCAAGACGACAACAAATAATTACAAAAGTATGTCACCGGCGCCCGCACTCGCACTGTGGGTAGTCGGCAAGCCTGCGGATCACACCAAACCCCAAAGGGTTAGGAGGAAGATCGTGAACCTGGATCCTGGGAATTAGGTGCGCAATTAATGGCGGCTTCGGCTTCAGCTACCGACGCTCCGAATCTGTAGAGAGCATGTACAGCTGAAAGATACATGGCACTTGCGCAAGTTCTGGTGAAGATCCGCGTACTCCGGTGAAGAGGACTCATTTCAGAGGGCGTGGTTGAGGTCTAGACCACAACCTGGAACTCCCTCAACTTTCCTCAGCATCTTAGCCCAATTCCGTTCTGAATGTATCGCCTCGTCTGATTGGTCAGGTCCACGGTGGGCTACTGATGGGAGAAAAGCAACGACGTGCCTTGGCACCACCCACCACATGGACCCTTGCATCTTGACCTTTTGCGATTCGCAAACTGTTTTGCTTTCTTTTTTTGTTTCCGGATCAGAGGTTGCAGACAGCCATGAGAGCCAGAAACCTTCAAGCATCTTGACAAATCCGAGTCCCCCTCTTCAGGGAGATGGCACGCTTGCTTAATTCAACCCAGTCCCACTCGAACCCCCAACACCACACACACATGACGTGATGCCTCATGCTTTTTTCTTCTTTTCAACTTCGGGCCTCTCATCCCCCTTCTTTCCGGTCAGCCAGTGCCCTTCCATTTTCTCCCATGGACTAGTAGGACACCAATCAGATGCCTCGGCGAGATCCCCGACGCCATCTTTATCGAACTGATGCACACAGGCAATCAAGTCCAAACAGCCTCGCGGTTCCGGCGCCGTCGTTTTCATGGCTTTCATGGGACCGGCTTTTCTGTCTCGCAGAGCCCTTGTCTCAGCTTTACCGTTGACATGTTCCACCGTGTTTCCGTGGCTCTGTCGACTGCCTTGTGTCTAATGAAAGGGGTCGGTACACGAATTCTATCGAGGGTTGGCACTGACAGACGCTTGAAATACCACGATCCCCGGACTTTGCTGAACCCTTCTGCGATCATACTCGGTACGAGAAAAACAACTTTCCGGAAAACAGGCGTCATGGCCGCTTCGACACCACAACGCTGTGGGCTCAGCCTTTTGGGGCAGCTTTGCAAGTTTACTCCCCCCCCGCAGATTCCACTCGTTTTAGTTCATCGGTTTCAGCGCTTGGCTAACAGGACCATCGGAAAATTCTCCCCGTTTTGGATCTCCTTGCATCATACCTCGAGTGTCGTCTTCGCGTGCGGCTCAAGGAAGCTTGTCGAGGCAATGCCTTGAACATGTGCTTGGCGATGCGTATCGGGTCGGAAGCGTCGATGCCCTCACCATATCAGCAAGCGTGCTCTTGGCAAGTTCTGGTCACGGGGAGTAGCAACTCTCCTGTCTAGAAACCTCAGACCGTGCTCCGATGCGCTGCGAGTTGATTCAACGTCCAAATCAAAGGGTCCAGTGCCATCCCGGCAACCATGGTGCCCCGGGTGCTCGTGGTGGTACGTCTTGAGATATGTTGAGGCGCACGTCATGCATCTCGGTCGCAAGCAGCTGACGCTTATCGACCTCCCGCCAGCATCCGGTCATCTTTACGGAGCTGCAAGACCATCGCCTGCAGCTACCCGTCTTCAGACAGGGGCTATCCCAGATCTCGGGACACGATCAAGAACAAGCTCACCCGCGGCCTGGGATCGTTAGCCGTTGACAGGCTCGCCCTGCCGTGCTGGTTCGCATTAGTGGCCCCCCCTTGAAGAGCTCTTCACCTCTCCCCAGGACCCCTAAACCCACGGTCCCACCCGAAGAAGAAGTACCCAGCTCTTTCTTAGCGACCGTTTCTGGAGTTGAGACAAGCAGTCCCGTGGACGTCATTCCGCTGTGGCTTCCCGGTGTGATTGGTTTCACTGGTACCTCGACATGCTGCAGCTGTTTCTTCCGAACACATGAGTGCCTTCTCTCTGGGTCGGCCATCCCTCCCTCTCCTCGCTTGAATGACGAGGCTCTGTTTCGTTTCGCAGGGCTCATCAGCCAAGACAGACCCCTGGTTGGGATCTTTCGTTTTTCAGGGTCCAAGGACAATTTCTTCACTTTCCCAAGGCTGTGTCACCGCACACTTGTTCGGTCATTTTTTCCCAGTTCTTGCTTTTGGACACCGAACCCCCGGCTTGCTCACCCAGGGCCAAACGCAGCTGGGGACCGTTCAGCCCAATCATTTCAATCGATAGGCAGCACACGGGGGAGAAGCTAAAAAGCTAGGTTTGCGCGCGTTCGATGCTGTCACCTCTTGATCCTGGCCTTCTAGTCGAAAAGTTCGATCACGATGAACCCCTATCTTCTCTCGATCGTGACCCCCCGGGAGATTTATCCTCTGCTGTGGCCCCCAACATTCAGCCGTATGGCTTTGATGCCCGTTCCAAGTTGATGTCATCTCCGCCTGCTGCACGTTTCCCGAGTCCGCAGTCATCGGGGTCTTCAGTCTGGCATCGATCGATAAGCATGGGGAGGTTCAGATACTTTGCAGATCGATCATTCATAGGAAAGCTGTGTTGTTCAGATCAGATATGACCGAATGATTCTGGAGACCAGTTATCGTCATGAGATGGACATTGCAACAGCCGGTTACGTCACGACGCGGCGGGGGTTTGTGTCCGACTGTGCTGCTGTAACAAAAACAACAACAGGAACACCGAACAGTCATAATGGTCATATCTTGGATGCAATTCCAATTCGCTATCTTTCCAGCGTTTATTTCCTTCCTGCTGCAACAACATCTCCATGATCTTCCAACATCCCTCAGCTCATCGTCTACTCTCATGTTTTTGCTCAACCAAGTTGGGGGAGCCTTTAACTGCAATCCTGCTTGGTTCCGCAAGCTCCCTTTACGCTCTGGTCTCGGGCGGTGTAGAGAGTTCAGTTGAAGCCCCCTCGGTCCAGATATCATACTTTTTAATTTTTTTTTATCTATTATTTAATTTATATATATATATCTTCTCATGGCCATGTTTGATTAGAAATGCTAGACTAATTCCTATACAAGCGATCACTTACCTATGTGCCTGCTCAAACAAGGCATGCTGCGAAAAGAAGGGTCTGTTCGAGTCAAAGGGTGCTTGATTAATGTGCTTGTTGGAGACATCACTTTGGACGCCATGTTAGCGGATGAATCTACCTAGACTGAATCATATGTATTAATGAAAGGCCTTCTCAGGGTGAACAATACAGCTCGTCTCTTTGGAATCAGTTAAGGGGTGGATGTCTGGGCAGGGTTAGGCCACTGCAACTCAGGGTTGAACATGGAGAAAGACTGCTTGAGGCCCTTTGATGTAAGCTCATGAGCTGAAAGTCAGTCTCTCTGGATGGATAGAGCACAGCACAGATAAGATTTCCTCACATTTTGTAGCCCAAGCTTACGTCAACAGATACAGAGCTGCCAGCAGCAAAGTGAATTCCGCCAAGTGAATTATCGTGGCCGGCCTCGATAGGTGCATCTTGGGAGCCACCCCCCTGTTGATAGCGCTCGGACCAGCATTTGGGAGCTGTGACGCTAGGGGGGGTTGCCACTCCAAGGCCAGATTGCACACATCACTTTTTTACGTGATCGACTGTCACACTCTCTGCTCTGCTTGCTTCCAAGCTTCTTCTTGGTACTTGGATTTTCTTCTTCATTCTTCTCTTTCTCAACCTCGTCAACCCCCCGTCTGGAGCTCGGCACACAATGGTCAACTTCAAGTGGTCTTCTCTTGCTCTGCTCGCTCTGCGCGCCGCCACCGTCTTTGCTCAGGACGATGTAAGTCCCAATGGTTCCGTCATCGCGCCACCTCACCTCGACAGCTCGAGCTCCCCGTCTAGCTTCACCGTCGCGCAAAACTATCAACTGGCATCGCAGCTTCGAGATTTGCAAAGGCTAACGTAGCATCAACCTCCAGGCCGACGCTGAGCCCAATGTTTCGACTGCCACCGAGACCCCAGAGCTCAAGGCCGATATCGAAACCACCTTCCCCGACTCTGATATCTTTGGTGTGAAGCTCGTCAACAACCGCATCAACAAGGCCCTCATTCAGATCACCAACAATGAGGCGACTCCAATTGACGTTGTCTACATCGGCGGTGCTTTCAAGACCACCCAGCCCCTCCCCGAGGATGCTCCTGCCTGGGGCGCCATTATCCGCAACTTGACCGCTGTCAAGGTCGAGGCCTCGATTCCTCCTGGTGGCAAGCACCAGATCCCTTTCCAGTTCACTCAGGATATGAACCCCCAGGATGTCATTCTTGACCTCATGGCGGTCATTACCCACGCCGAGTCCGGTCACGTCTACCAGGTTCTCGCCCACTCCGGTCCCGCCACCATTGTTGAGCCCCCTACCAGCATCTTCGACCCTCAGATGTATGTGTTTTCGACATGAGCCTGACCGATGATGGTTACTAACTCTTCTCCAGCATCTTCCTCTACCTCTTCCTCACCGGTCTCTTCGGCGCCACCCTCTACTTCGTCTACAAGACCTGGATCGAGGCCCTCTTCCCCCAAACCCGCCGCGTTCCCGCCGTCAAGGGCAAGAAGGTTAAGAAGGTTGAGGTTGAGCCCCTCTCTGGCTCCGAGTCGGCCGGTGCCACCAGCACTGGTGCTGACAAGGACTACGATGAGGCCTGGATCCCCACCCACCACATCAACCGCCCCGTCGCCAAGCGCGTCAAGAGCAGTGCCAGCGGCAAGGCCAAATAAATTGGAA